CGTCGTCCTAAATTCCTCGTAATCTCGAAAAGTGCTTATCAGAATCTATCGAAGTCAGATCCTGAAAGTGTAGCTGACATGACGATGAGATATTGTAGTTGACGTAGGTGACGATAGCTGACGAAGCAGCTGACGATCAGATTTTGTGGGAAGTTCGAGTGTTCAGCCTCTGCAAAGCTTCGAAACCGTAAAATAGCTATCAACTCGGCGCCGTGAGAGATTCGAGAAAAATACATTAAACTGAATCCTTCAACGATATTTTTGGCTATCAATAACGAAACATTTGAAGCCATGAAGTTCAATCTAATATTGCTGCTGATGGATCATCAACATAAAGTATCTTCAAGGGCTTACCGCTTTCTGAAACTGGCTTTTTAAATCCTTTTAAAAAATCCCGAACAATTCTTTCATTTAGCACATAGATATTTTAAGTGATCAATGACCTAACGAAACCATTACCCTACCCCGGGATTTTTGACTCATCAACATTTTGAAACTCGTAATCCTCTTCTCCTAAAGCCGACTCTTTTTATCTGATTTATTCTTGTCAAGACTCTCAAATAATAGTTTGGAAAACAGCAATAAAAAAGAACACATATCATTTCTATAAAGAATCTAGAAACAAATTCTACAATGAAAAACCTCAGACGAAAGTAAAGAGCATATCTAGATCATTTGAAGACTCACTGTGTTTCCAATTACAGCAGAAAATCTTTCCCAAAAACAAAATGTTTCCCAGCACTCTCAGGCACTTGATCATTTGGATGTGGAAAAAATTGGAAAAAAGAAATGGGAAAAAGAGACGCTGAAATTGGCCTCCATTCATTAAAACCCATTCTCACACACATAAAAATAGAGGCCAAAGGAGGTTGGAAATGAAAAGAAATGCAAAAAGTGAACAGAAAATGAGGGGCTCAAATAATTGGAAGCAGATAGATTTTGGAAGAGAAAAGCCCAGGGTTTGTTGAAAATGAAAAGCTCTGTCTCGGATGCATGTTTCAAAATGCTCAAACCATCGCTGATTTTGAGAAAACCAAGTGCTCAAACAAAGCTATCAAACTCAAAAATTAAAATTGCAGTGCCCCAAACTTTTGTTGGGTGAATGAGAATCCAAATCTGGTACCAGCTTTGACTTTTTGTGAAAAACTGATGCCAGATTCAGTTCAAACATTTTGAAGGGAAAAAGATGCAAATTACATTTAGCCATCTTGATTCGTGCCAGACAATGTTATATCTTGGTTCTCTGTTACTGACAATGTTACTTTCTCCTACTTAGGCTCTGGAAAATCCCTGGAAAATCGCTTTTTCAGACCAGCTCTAGTTGGTCTGAAAACGATTTTCCACATTTAACCAAACAAGCTAGGCCAGAAGTCTTTAGACAAAAATAATGTGTGGTTGTCGGCGCTCAAATCAATTCACTATTGCCCTTTTCTCATTTTCTGCATATTTATCCCCATGTGAAAATCGTGTTTCAAGATAGTTTGCAAGCAGAATTTGTCGAAGAAGCTTTATTATGCCAAAATCCATTACTTTCATCAAGTTTAGCTTTGAAATTTTTGGATGGTTTTCCAAAGCAACAGACAAATGAGTTGAAAAACTCACTTCGTAAAAAACAGATGGCTGATTTTAGACTGAATTTTCCAGGGGGTTTCATGAATTCTTTTACTCCAAAAAATGGTAATGTTTCATTGTTTATAAGGTTGATAGTCGTTCTATTAATTTAATGGTAATATATCTCATTTCATTCAAATTTCATTTAAAACTCTTTTTCAAAGTACTCAACTTTTCAGAAATCAATTTTTATCAATCAAACAATCATTCTTTATCTCAATATCAATAAAAAATAAATCAATTTTTATCAATTATCAATTGATGAGTAGATCCATCTGGGTCCATCGGATTCGCTAAACGCCAGATTTATGCCTCGAAAGAAAAATGGATTTGTTGGACTTGAGATAAAGACACCAGTATCTACAATAATTAGGAAATCCGAAAAAAAGGAATTAACATTTAATATTTGACAAAATTGAAAATTTTAACATTTTCACTTTGGAACTAATCAGTTGACAAAATCTAGTTTTTAAATTTAAAGAAAATTTTCAAATAACTTTCAAAAAAGAGGAATTATTAGTATTGCTGATTCTTCTTAAAAATATTTCAAAACTTTTAAGCTTTTCTCATCTTTTCAGGAAGTTTATCGTTTCTAAAACCGGATCTAATAGATCTAAAAGATCTAAAAAGAATATCCTTCTTCAATATTCAAAGAACTCATATCCTTCTTCAAGCCATTTACCCTAACACACACTTGAAACTTGTATTTATTTTTTGGAGACTACTGGCTTGATACCTGTTTTCATATCATTGACTGGATCCTTTAAAAAATGAATTTGACTAATTAAAGGCTTAGGTCATGAAAGCCCAGAAGAAAGTTTAGAGGTGATTCGATAAAGATATGGATAAAGTGGATAAAAATAAAGGGTTAGCTGTTATGCTAATTTATTAGTCTTTGTAATTTTCATAGTCGGTTATTTTAAGACTCTACCCTTTAGGTTTTCATTTTTGTGGCATTATCAGGTTTTTGAAGGTTTCACTCAAGTTTTTCGCTCGTTTTCCCTCATGGACTTTGTATTCCTAAATCATCCCCGAAATTTTCGAAATTCCAATTGATTTTTCTTGACGGTCATCTCTAGTCATAAACTTTGAAACTTGGATTCCAAATTTTTGATGCTTTCATAGTTTTTGTTCATCTCTCGTAACTTCTATCATATCCATTCAAAAAATAACCATAGCCAAATTTAGTTTTGTTTATAGTTTTAGAAATAGAAGAAATTCCCTTCTCTACTGGAAGAAGTTTGCACAACGTCTTTTTCCTTAACTTGAAGATTTCTCTCTGTCTTTTTGTGACACAAAATGCTGATGAAATCAGGAATCAAACATTGAAACTTGCATTTCAAGAACATTTTACTTCTTGAAATTTTCTTTTTAACGGAGCACAGTCCCCCCAGCGGTCGTTTCGATGACTTGCACCTCGCAGTAACCTGGTTCGAAAGAGCGCCGTTGCCCAAAGTTATCATCGCTTTTTGGGTATCTGCCATGGGGAAAAGTGATAATCAAAAAAGAGGTGAAACTGAATTTTGATAAATCGTAATTTTTGCTTTACTTTTAAACATTTTGTCATTGTAAAGATAAAAACTGGTCTAAGCTTGGTCTAAACTGGTAAAAACTGGTTTTTCTTTGGAAAATCGATTTGCTAAGGGTTGCAGTGAGTCTGGGTAAATAAGTTTTGAAATGTCTGCGAGAGAGGGAGACAAATCGAAAAATGATCAATCAAAGAGTTATGAAATGAATAGACAAACACACGAGATTAGAAAGTCAAAACCCAGTGATGGGTAAAATTTAAAATCAAATGTAACACCGGAATTATCCAAATGTAACACCGTAAAAAAGCGAAGGAAGGGCTTAATTCCAAGAATTTGAAACATGGTTTTTAAAAAGTTCTGTGAAAGATTGATTGAAGGCTTCAAATTCCATCCAAATTCTTTTCTTTCATTCCTTTATTTGCTTTATGGCTGTAGGCTTTGTAGTAAGTTTAAATGTAATGGAGTTGGGTATTTAAAGATATTCAGCTGAACACCTTTTATTGCACGTGTCTTTAACCTGTTACATTCTGTTTTCTTGTTTTCCCTCGAAAAACGAGTTTTTCTCTCGAAATTGTGAAAATTTCCCAATAACATCTCAAATATTTCATAGTAAACATTTAAAAAATGATTCCATCTTTTTTGCTTGCTGTCTTCCGCTATTCATTTGGACAAGCAAAATTTTCATAACCAAAGTAAAATTTCAGGCTCAAACTTTTTGGCGATCAAATACTTTTTGATAGAATTGGTCAAAATTGGGTAAAATCGGCATTCTTATGCAATCAAAGTGAAATTTAACAAATCCTTTTCAGACACGCGCCAGAGAATCTGAAAAAAGATGGGGATCCTCGAGATTTCATGGAGGCCTATTTGCAGAGGAAATGCAGCGTCAACCCGAGAATCCGCATTTCAAGTGAGATTTCGCTGAAAATCTGGCTTTCAGAGTTATTATTGTTAAACATTTTCACATTCAAACCTTCCAAAATAGGTACGGTGATTAAATTTTTCGCTTGGCAATCCGTCTTTCGAATTAAGTAAAAGCATTCTTTTCTAAAAGATCTATCAAATCAGTAGAGAAAATAGAATCGTTTTCACTTTAAACCGAGCTCAGAAGCGAGTTTAATCAATCATTGAAAAAAACATTTTTCAATCTCTTTTGTAAATTTTTACAATTTTCAAGGGGGAAAATAGAATGGAATAAGAATTCTGAAGGGGATGATTGGACAAATAATGCTCTGGAAGCTTGATTCCTTTTCAGCAAAGCTCAACTAAAATAAAAAAGAATTGACTTGGCAGCAATAAATTTGATTGAAAACTAAGTGAAAAAAATCATGCGATTGGCAGAAAATCTTTGCTGAATACCTGAAACAAAGACCAAGGCACAGTTTGCAGACGAAACAAAGGAGCTTTTAGTTTTACATCAACCACATACAAAGTACGTCTAGAGAAACTGGCGCAAGGATGACATAAATCCACAACTTTGATTTACAGCTCATCAAGCCAAAAAAATTCAAATCAATCCACCACTCAAACCTTTAGCTAAGAAACGCCGCCAACGCTGAACCGTCCATAGGTGGAACTCGTAGTTCCCGCCTTGATCAAATTCAGGCAATCCGCATCGGCCAAGTATAAACTGGCTTTAAACCATTAAAAACTTTCAAAAACAAATGAACTTTAAACGATTTATAGAATTAAGAACGCAAACACAAACAAAGAAAAAAAAATCCAATCTTTAGCACATTTTTCTTTAGCATCCAGGTTTAAAATTGACAATGGCCGCATTGTAGCGTTTTGCTTCTTCAGCCCATTGTGTCGGAAAGTCAACCTAAAGAGAAAGTATAAACATGTTTTGATTGGATAGATATAAAAGTAACTTACTTAAAAGCGGTAGTCAACTTCTCGATAATGTTGTCCCATGAAGGAATGGCTTCGCACGATGGAATATTGAGCATTTGAAAGATGACTTCACGAATGTACGGAGCTTCTGGTCGGCGCCTGAAAATAGAATACCTAAAATACCAAATGAATCAGTAACATCTTGGAAGTGGTTTCTCAAACATGAAACCATTCGTATCCTCGACAACCTTTCCGTACGTTTTGAAGATTCCTACATGAAGAGATGCGGCGAAGGAGAAGTAATCCGTTTGATAAGTCCAAGGACGATCATTCTAAAATATCAAAACTTGCAAAAACAAAAACTTCACACTCACCAGCATTTCAGGACAATCGAAGCATTGTGTTCCGGCGCGACCACCGAAGGAAGCTCCATTTGGCAGGGAAGAGAGATCAATTGCTCGGCCCCAATCGATGAGACGTATGATAGGCTCTGAAGAAAGCAAGTCGTCGGCGTGTAGAGACAACCCTTCGGGCAATCTAAAACAATAAAGTAACTGTTCAATTCCACCGTCGACCCACTTTCCAATGAACATCACATTGTCTGGCTTCACATCTCCATGGATGATTCTGGCAGCGTAAACTTCTTTCAAGATTCGTGCGAGTTGAATGAAGAGATGGAGCACAACGCTGTAGGAAACTTCGCCGGGCACGTTGTTAATGCATTGCAGCATGTTGCCCATCGACAGATACTCGTTGACAATCAGAGATGCGTTCCGGAAGATGTACATGTCGTCGATTTTCATGATGGCGGGACTTATCTCGGTCGAAATGCGATTGTGGACCGCTAAATTTATGAATAGATAACCCATCACTTAATTTAAAACTACCTTCCCAGGCACACGATGGAACTTCGTACTAAATAGAATTATAGAATAAAAGTTTGAAATGTTTTGCCTTCAATGCCACTGCCAATCCTTCCTCATTGCGAGCTCGGTAGATCTTTGCAAATCCGCCTTCACCCAATAGTCCATCCACAGCGAATTCTTCTCCACTCACTTTCAGGAGGCTTCCGACTCGCAGCTGCGAGCAAGTCTCCTGGAACATTGACATGACCATCTAGATCTTAAAACAAACCGCAATATCATGAACATTCATCTCTTGAAAATTTGCCATGATTGAGTTCCGCAACTCTGGCGACCATGGGTTCAACTGCGACGTTACATTTTGCTCTCTTAAACGTAGAATTGCACCATCAATCAGAAAAAACTGACGGCAATCCAATTCCAGTTGAGTCGAGATCAACCATCGGCGAAACCTCATCCGTATTCACAATTCAAACTTCTTGTTTTGTAGGAGCGGCACGCATCACAGCGGTGCCTTTCTATAAACAAAAATTAAGAATTACAGAGTTAATAACTTGTTTTTCTTGCTGATTCTGGGCCATTAGCGAACCACTCAACGACGATCGACCAACCAGCGAGCTCCGTCCGGTGAAGAATGAGCGGCGTCTCTGAAGCTCTTTATCTTGCTCTAAACCCTTGATCGTCGTCTCCTTTTCTTCGATCGTTCGCAATGCTTTGT